GATTGAGCTGTGGATTTGAAGGCTTCGAGATGCATTTGAGAATCCTGCATCACTTGCTGATAACTTGCCTTTCCGACATTTACATTTTTAATATCGCTTTGAAGATAGCCTTTTTTATTTTGTGGGGACGGATCCTGATGATCATTTACGGCTGGTGGTGCCTTCTATCTTTATCTTGCCATTTCTCCATGCCTACCATGATTCTCCTATTTTATGTGGGCATATGGGACATTGTTGTGTGACAAAGAAGTTGCACAGGTCTTTCTATTGGCTGAAGATGCAACGTGATACTATCCAGTATGTGTGTAGCTACGTTTGGTGCCAAGCTCGTAATACTCTCCCTCGTGCTGCGGAAGGACGGTTAGAGTCAATTGCAATTTCCTGTCCATTTGAGTTGATAACGTTTGATCTTATGGGACCTTTTCCATGGTCGACTGCTGGCAATGAGTATGTTATTATTGGTTCTGATTACTTAACTTATTGGGTGGAAATTGGTGCTCTTGCTAATGCTTCTGCAACTGTTGTTGGATACTTCCTCCTCAATCGAGTGGTGTTCTAGCATTCTTGTCCAAAGCGGATTCTTTCAGATAATGGTCCCACATTTATAGCTAAGGCATTTCATGTTTTAACGTTTTGGTTGGGGATACGCCACACTTTCACAAGTGCTTATCATCCATAATCAGACGGTCTGGTAGAATGGCTCATTCGGACATTCAAAGGGATGATTGCAAAGTATGTGAACTTTCAACATTCGGATTGGGATAGTTATTTGCCGTTTCTTCGGTATGCCTATATCACAGAGGTGTAGAGTTCTGTTGGTGATTCACCATATAAACTCTTATATGGTCATGATCTAATATTACCAACGGAACTGGGTTTACCTTTGCGATTGCCACGAGCTCCTGATCCTAGGTCTTGGGATTAATATTTAACGAGCATTCTTCCACTTATCTAAGCAAAGTCTGCCGAACACTTAAGCCGCGTACAAGTGGGACAAAAACTGCGCTAAATGCTTTATTTCGTTAAAGTGGAACTTTTCATTATCCCACTTATGGTGTGTGGCCACATGCCATTTTTATAACAACAATAAAAAATTGAAGTTTTAGCTTTATAATTTATAAATTAAAAACTTTTCATATGATTTTGTGTTATAATATTGTGAAATATAAAAAATAAATTAAAAAACTGATAGAAATATTAATAAATATTAATTAAGTACTAGGAAATGGCATGTGGACACATGCTAATTAATGTCCCACTTTACTGAATAAGTTCCACTTTAACGAAATAAAGCATGGCTACAACTCCTATCATTGTCCACCTGTGGAGTACAAAGTGGATGATTTGGTGTTAGTTCGTTTTCCCCATCTTACGATACGTGGTTTAGTTAAGGGGCTCCTTGTGCAGTGGAAAAGACCGTATCGGGTGTTACGGTAAGTTGGACCACAAGTTTATGAGGTTCGGCATGATATCCAGCAAATTGATCCTTTGGAGATTGTGCATGTGCAACAGTTGAAACGCTTCATACAAAGGGATTAGGAGCAGTTAATACCACCTATAGATGCACCGATGCCTCCTCCTGACATCCTTCCAGATCTCGGCCCATCTACAAGAGAACCCTGATGTCCTTCCATTATTCCGAGAAGAGAGGATGATGTGAGGGCGATTATAATGTTGTATATTAATATTAGCGTAGTGGGATTTTGGTAGCCGTCGGATTAGTTTCAATCTGGACCACTCGCTTCTATATATAATCTATGGTTGTTGGGCTAATTGATATGCACATTTTTTGTATTCCCTTTCCATATTCCAAGCACTCACATTACATGTTTATAATTTTCAAACACAAATTAATCTTATTGCATATCAACCATTAGAATAAAAAAGAATATACTAGAAAGTGTTTAGGAAAGATTATAAATTATAAATATAAAATTAATCTAAATGAATAACAATCATTAGATAATAGAATATCCAAGCATTTTCTAGGTATACCCACTACCATCTCATAAACCAGAAAAAAGAAAAGAAAAGAGAATTGTAATTTTGGGTTTGCTTTAACAAGCAGCAGACAGTTTTTTGGAATTTAAAAAATCAGTTTGTAATAAAATTTAATATTAATAATTAAATACTTAGAACTGGCTAATGATATGTTACCAAAATTGCCTTGAAAATCTCTGTTTTTAAGCGATTAGAAAGAATTCCATGGATTGATTGTCTCGAATTGGTGCACACAGTTTGGAAATGCTCAGAAGAGCTCAAGGAGCTCAAGGACTGATTTAGTCAACAGAATTACATCTTCACAGACACATAGTCAAAAGGGTCCATTTTTAGATGTCGTCTTGAGCAATAGATCATCAATAACTTTGCTCTTCTTTTTTATTGGTACCATGTAACTGTATTGTTTTCAAATATATAAGTCTCAATCCTGTATGTGCCAGAGGTGGAGGCAAATTAAAACATGCATTTTAAAAACTAATAGATACCATTGGTGGCAATAGCTTCAAGTGGCAAGGAACATACTTTAGATACTACTTGCCACCAAAAGTCTATTAATTTGGGAGGAATTTCGGGAGCTGGAAGTCAAGAGAAGACTGAGTGGGTGGGAGTGAGGTTAGGGCAGGAAGTTTGTGGTCTCATGCCTCCATTGTAATTTATAATAATTTCCTTAATCATTAAAATTATTCAATGTGATACCCCGGGCATTTCCATAAAATGCCAGCTTTAGTGTTTTAGCAAAACAAAACAAATGCCGTGTAGTGGGCATTTGGTACGATTCTTGCTTCAGGTGTGAGAGGTACCCTTGCCTTTGTTGTTTTTATTCTTGTCTGTTCACTGTACGTTAATATGTAAAATTTTTATTCTTGCCAAAGTTGTTTACACCTTGGAGGCCAGCACAAGACCAGCAACTCCAAAGGTGAGAGCAACGCTTCCTCCATACTTCCTTCCAAAGTCAGCAATGTTGGTGAAGGAATCGATGGCAGCATAGCCCTTTGCGTAGATTTCCTTGCCGACGATGTTGTAGATGGCGCGAACTGGAGCAAGCACGGCCTGGTATGCGTATGGCAGGTACTCGGTTGCGCCGACAGCATCAAATATGGAGTCCAAGAACCACTCGCTGTGAGTCGATGCTAGAACATTGTTCACCATGATGCTGCCGGAGAGAGTGAGCGGGTTGTAGAGGCCTACCTTCTCAACCTTTTGTATTTCTGGAAAAGTAGCACAGAATCGTCAAATTCGAAACATCCCACCAATATATATGCTTTTTGCTTTCCTTACCAGTGATTTGAGATGATTCCCACAGGGAATCTCCAACCTTGAGGTCCTCGGCTCTCTTGTACACGAGCTTCCCATTGACAGCAACGGGAACAAAGTGGCCTGCAGTGAGTTCCAACATGTTTGAAGCGCTGTGCACTTGGAAAAACTTGGACATGGCATCAGCATCCTTGTGGCCGAATGCATACACATCTGAATAGATATTCTTCCCCACTGCAACCTGCGGAGAAGTTATACTTGGACAAGATTTATGTGAAAGTATTCAACCTTGTCTCCAACATTAAGCTCCCTCACGAACTTAATTTCTCCATTATACATCTGAACAGTTGCATCTCCTATAATAGCTTGAAAATTGTATGAAGAAAAAAGCGTGATTTCACATGAACCCTACCTGGGAAGCATCCTGGAGTGGCTGGAGTGGCTGGAGTGCCTGGAGGAGGAGGGGCTGGAGGGGGTGGAGTGCCTGGAGGAGGAGTGGTGGGAGTTTGTGCCACTGCAACGCTTGCAGCGAAAGCAATGAAAGAAGTGAGGAAGATTAGAGCACTGGTATGAGCCATTAGCTAGCTCGAAACTGCTGGTTGCTAACACTCTAGGAGCAACCCATTTTATAGCAGAATGTAAGCATCTAATGTTTGGTATTTTGGTGAGAAACTAAATACCATCCATGGAGAAACTAAAGAGTTTATTAAAATAAATTAAGATTAGTTTAAAGTTCGTTTTACATTTATTTCTCGCACTACTAATTTTGGGTTAAAAGCTTGAAAACTTCAAAAGGTTGATTTATTCCTTTAAATACCGTACCAGCTGAAAACCCTAATCCAATGTCGAAGGAGAGACTGGATCGTGGCCTGGAGAAGGCGGTGAGTTTGTACAAAGAGTGCTCAGGCACAGGGAAGGGCCCTTTTCTAGTGGCAGACGATGTGTTCTACTCTAGCTTTGAGAAATGGAGTTCCAACAATGAAGACTGCTGGAGGCTGGCCTTCCTCGAGAGAGAAGCGGGCTCCGGCGTTGGCAGTGTCTACATATTTGGCGATCCCAGTAACGTCCACGACGAGACGAAGCAGTGGTTCTTCCACAAGTTATGCCGGCAAGTGGAGAGGCACTTGATGCTCACGAGCCCCGAGCTGGACATCCGCTCCTTCGTCCGGGTCCTGGGATCATCGAGGTTTGCGCTTGGTAACGGGAGCAAGGAGCCAGACGCCTCTTTCTCCACGGCCTCGCAGAAGCATCCATTCCCTCGAGTAGTCCTTGAAGTGGGCTACAAGAACGAGCCTTTTGAGGTACTCGTCAGGGAACTTAACCACTGGGTTCGCTCGGGCTGTAAGCTCGCAATTGGGATACAAATCTCGTACGCCACCCTCAGCACTAGCAGCAGCAGCCTGCAACTGTTGTGGGTGCAGGAGGAAGCTGGCAAAGGTACACAGATTATAGATTTTAGCCCTGGAGTTTGCACTTTGGAAACAAAGGAGGATTTCTTGGTGTGGTTCCCGTTCAGCATGCTTTCCAGCGATGTTCCAGACTGCCATGACATCCCACTCACGTTTGATCTGTATCAGCTCCAGTCGACGATCAAGGAGCTGGTGCAGGAAGAGTTTGATCTGTATCAGCTACAGTCGACGATCAAGGAGATGGTATAGGAAGAGTAACCTTGTTAAGAATACTTAAATGAGGAACATGTTCTAGCTCTCACCTTAATATTCAAGATGATTGTGTAAATCTTTAAAAACTTAGATCATTAAAAATATTGATTTAAAATTTATTAAGAATTCAACGAAGAACTATTTGAATAACGCTGCTCACATTATAACGATAAAGAGCAAGATCGAAATTCCGGCTGTTGCTGCTGCTGCCGTGAGAGTTTCCAAATCTTTTCTCGAGATGTTACTGCCGGCGGCGCTGCTGGAGCTGGAGCTGGAGCTGCTGGAGCTTGACGATGGTGGAGTGGCGGCGCTGCCTGTGAGCGATGCGTTTTGGACATCGATGGACAGCTTCTGGCCCCCTTGGCAGTGATTTGGAAAGCCGCAGAGGAAGTACCATGATCCGGGCCTGGTCATTGCGATCGAGGTGTCACCGTTGTTGAAAGACTGGATCGGCGAGGCGCTGGAGCATCGGTCGTAGTCATCCTCGGACACTTCCAGAACGTCGTGCCGTTGGCTGTTGTACTTGAAACCTTGCATGCATAGAAGATGCTCTCGTTAGAAAACAAAGAAGATGAAAGCACAAGAAAAGAAAACAAACTTACGGAGTGTGTCATTGACACGAACGTTTTGCTGCTTGGACCAATTCTCGTAAAAGTCATCGTCGCCGTTGGGAGGCATTATCCATTGAGTCGCGCCCCCGACTACAAACTCGGTTGCTTGAACAGCTCCCAGTGTCGCGAGCAAGAGAGCTGCCAGAAACGAGAATCCCACCATCAATTCACCACCACTCTGCTGTTGCTTCTTCATACTTGTTTGGACGATGATCTTCCTTTCACTGCTTCTCTTCTTCTCTTCTTTTCGTGCCATATAAGTTCTAAAAGCGCCAACCAAATTGATGGCTCACCTGGCCCCCAAAAAAGCTGAGAAAGCTCTTTCCTACAGGTGGAGGCCATAAACTATTCCTGGAAACAAAGACATAGTTTTGCATTGGACTTGAAAATCCTAGCCAAGAATTTAATAGTAAAAGCATAAAGCGAACATACATACCCCAGCGGTGTTGCTTTTTTTAATCCAGTTACTCGGTAACTCACATCATAAGAAGTATACTTTAGAAGGTGGAACCATTCCATCCGAAAAAGCTTCTCTGAGAAGGATATGACCAAAGTGAAATAGAGAAGAACAAGAGCTTGCCAAAAAGTACCTGGACGTCGTAGAACTTAATGTAGAATCGTGATGGCGGAACCGATAACTTGGACTCCAAAATCTCGGACAAAGCTTCGCTGAGTTCTTTGTTGACGCTCGGCCCCAGCCCTCCAATCGAGATCACTTCTCCATACGCAGCCGGCTCTTCGGTGCCACCGAATGACATTGGAACACTATCTTTGAGCACGATCATCACATACTGCGAAACCAAACAACTTGGAAATGAAAATCCAGTTCAATCGATCCGGCCGAGCGCTCTAGGAATCATCGCACAATGAAATCTAGATCTCGAGTGATAATCTAGACGAGAGAGCTGCAATGCCTGGAGATTTCGTGGCTATCGAATGCGCTACAACCTATCGATCGAGACGACGTTACCTGTTCGGGCTTTCCAATGATCCGAGAGACCGCCTTGCTCGCATCCTTGAGAATGTCGGAGCTCACGATCGAATCGGCGGGGACGTTCGTGGAGAGATTGAGCGTCGGCATTCCTTCTAGCGCTAAAATCCCTAGCGCTTCCCGGAGTTTGTTCTTGTCGGATGGATAGATCTATGATCCAACGGCTGACATCGCTACACATGGCGGCATTCAAGGCGTGGGATTTTTTTCAAGGGCTTAGGGCTTGGGAATGGCGCGCGGGCGAAGCCGCGAGGCGGGAGATGCCGCCGGGATCATCGCGCGCATCCGGGTGGAGAATTTCATGTGCCATTCCAATCTCTCGATCGATTTCGTTGACAACGTGAATTTCATCACGGGGCAGAATGGGAGTAAGTTCTCTGCTCCAAGATTTTGGGAAGAATGTAGGTTTTTTTGCCTCTTCGCAGGTGGGAAGAGCGCCATTCTCACGGCTCTGTGCATCGCATTTGGCATCAGAGCTCGCGGAACGCAACGAGCTACTTCGCTGAAAGATTTTATCAAGACGGGATGCAGGTAGAGCTAAGTGTTAGATTTTAAAGCTCTTGACTGGAGTTTACACTTACACTTTCTCATGTTTAGCTATGCGCTGGTCATCGTGGAAATGAAGAATGAAGGCTGTGATTCCTACAAGCCGGAGAGGTACGGGAAAATGATTATAATCGAGCGAAGGATTACTGCGACTGCTTCCACCACCGCGTTGAAAGACGAGCATGGCATGAATTTTTTTCCTTATTTCTTCGTGTTTTCATCCCCGAGTATTTACATTGTTTCTTTCAGGTCGGAAGGTTTCGGCTAAAAAGGAAGACCTTCATGATATAATCGACCATTTCAATGTGAGTCTTCCGTAATATTTTACCTGTTTACTGACTTGGATGCTTATAGATAGATGTCGAAAATCCTTGTGTGATCATGAGCCAAGACAAGAGCCGCGAGTTCCTGCATTCCGGAAATGACAAGGAAAAGTTCAAGGTACTTGGCTCTAATCCTTGTTGGGCTCATGACCTGCTTGTTTTTTGGGCATAGTTCTTTTACAAGGCAACACTTTTGCAACACGTTTCGGAGCTTTTGGATGCTAACATCGGCAACATTGAATCATGCAAAGTCTATTTGAAGGCCAACGAGGAAACATTTCGGCCCTACGAGCAGAAGCTCAATAAATTGGACTTGGAAATTCGGCGGGCAGAAAAGGTTGACGAGATGGCGCAGGAGGTCACCAACCTGCGGAAAAAACTGGCTTGGTCTCAGGTTTACGATATCGATCGTAAAATTGAGAAGGCAGCAGGTTGCGCAGAAAAGCTTCGAGAGCGCATTCCAGTCTGCCAGGAAAGAATAGATGCACACAAGGTCAGTCTTAAGACGAGGTTATTTGTAAGGAATGTCTAATATCTCTATTACAGGCTATCCTGGGAGAGAAACGCGATGCTCATTCCAGGAAAAACACAAGCATTTCCGATCTGATTTCTAGGAATGATAGAGCAAAGGAAGCAGAGAAGAAACTATACCAAGATCTGACTGAGGTAATGGCTGTCGCTAAAAATGTGCCAGTCGCTGTAGCATTTTTTATTTGCAGGTGACACAGGAAAAGGTGCAACTCGAAGAAACTCTTCGAAGTAAAGTAGCGACTTTGGAGCGGAAGCGCGGTAAAAAGCGCTCACTTGAAATGCACGTACGTGAAATGAAGGAAAAGTTCGAAGAGAACACCCAGGTGAGCTCATTCGGTGTGTGGCTTTCTTGTGATGTATTGAAAGTTGTCCAGGTGGAAGAAAATGAGAGGGTTGAAGCACTTCGAGCCCTTGAAAACGAGATCGATTTGCAAAAGGGAGAGCGAAGAAGGTAATATGTCTTACCCAAACGCAATTATGTAAATGTTTTCCTTTTTAAATAGAATGCAGGAAGAGGAAGAAGCGGCTTTGAGAAACTTAAACTCCGCCACTGATAGCATTTCAGAACGAAACAAAGAGGTATTGTTTATCTTTTAGATTATTAGTAAGTCGCCAATTTTCTTGTATCAGATTGAAGACCGTCGTGGAAAGGTCAGCGATTTGAATGGTTATATTAGGCGACTACAAAACCAGCAGCGTAATCGGGTGAGTGAGTTGACTCCTAAGCCCCTGTGGTAACATTTTCTGTAGCTTCATGCCTTTGGAGGTGAGGACGTTATAAAGCTGCTCCGGAGCATTGAAAATCATGAAAACTCTTTTACAAGACCTCCCATTGGTCCGATTGGAGCACATGTCGTGAGTTAAACAACGTTTTAAAGTATTTTGGCATTTAACTTTGTGATTTCAAGGCTCTGGCAGGAGATGATACGTGGGCGCTCGCTGTTGAAGTAGCTGTTGGAAGATTGCTAAACGCTTTTGTTGTGACCAACCACCAGGACATGCTTGCTCTTCGTAGACTTGCTCGTAACTGCAATTATACGAACCTGCCGATTATAATCTACAACTTCGAACACCCACTGTATGTACCTCATGAATTTTTTGTTGTTCCTAGCCATTTTTCTTTTCTCATCTTTCAGGTTGAACCTGCCACCACGGATGCTTCCAAATCCGGACCTGATCACTGTGATGTCGGTTCTCCAGTCTGAAAACCATATCGTCAAAAACGTCTTGGTCGATCATGTAAGGTATTCAGGCAGGTCTTACTTTTATCTGTTCTTTTTTATCTCTTCCAGGGATCTGTTGAGAGACAAGTCCTGGTTGAGAATTACCAGGAAGGCGTACGCGTGGTTTTCAACACGAGAGCGCCAAACGTGAAGGAGGCCTTTACGAGGTCCGGTGAGAAAATGTAAGGGTTGATACATGTGCCAGTTTTAGTCGTCTGACGTGTGTATTGTCCAGGTTTATGAGAGCGGGAGGCCAAACAACACTCCCGAAAGACAGAAATATACGAGGTGGGCGACTGGAAGCGGGTATCGAGCAGCGAATTACAGAAGCGGAAAGTGACCTTTCAAGAGTTGTCGAAGAGCTCAGATTATTGGAATCACAAAAGCGAAGTGCTGAGGCCTCCCTTCAAGATTTAAGACGTCACCTCGAGAAATCCAGGGTAAACTTTGCTCCTCGTTATGCTTTAGAATTTGAAGTGGATGTATACAGAGAGCAAACGCGGAAATCAGTCAAAGCATCTCAAGGAAAGAACTTCGATTGCGCGATCTAAAATTTCAAGCAGAACAAGCAGCAAGTGCAACTATGCCTAACACGGAAGAGCTTGAAACCGAAATTTTGGTACTTCAATCGTCTCATGCATGGAAGTTGATATATATTTTCTTAAATCAGGATACAGAAGCGGAAGCTCGAAAACTCGAGCGTGTGATTGAAGACCTCAGAAGTAAAGTCGTTGATGTCAATGCCAAACAGCAAGATGCCAAGTCCAAGCATGATAGCTTCTTGGGTAAGTTTTATCTGTATTGTGGCTTTTCCTCAGCTGTCGCAATCGTAGATTCCACCAAAGATGATGCCGAAGCTCTTAGAAAAGCTGCCGATGAGTTGCAAGCATTGCAAGAGGAAGCAGACGAGGCCGCTAACGTAAGGAGTTACTTTACAAAGTTTGTTTCTGATCCTCATTCCCACAGGCCGTTGCTCATTTCACAAAAATCATGAAAGACAGGGTGCTTCCTGAGTTGCAAATAGCAGAGGAAGAATTGAAACGCCTTCAAAGCGAGCGTGAGGTGGGTGTCTGCTTAGTTGCACTTTGGCTGCTAATTTTGTTATCATGCTTTGCAGGAAAATGCGCAGAAAGCGTCACAGATATGCCCAGGGGAAGAAGTCGAGAGGCTGGGCGGAGTGTCGGATTCCACAGTTAAACTGAACGCAAGCTTAGAACGTCTTATGGACCAAGTGAGTCGTGAAGAAAGGTGGGAAGCATTTCAAGTTTTCGTGATTTGTTAGTCATTTCTCCCGGTTTTCCTGTTTAGGCACATCACCCCAGTGGACGAACTTCAGCGAAAGAAGTCGAAACTGGAAAAGAAAGTCTTCAAGAAGAAGCATCTTCACGTGGATCTGAAGCAAAGAATAGAGGTAGCATCGTTTGTGGCTTTTTCGTTGTTCAAGACTTTCTTTTGCAGGCGATAGACAATGTGTATGCGTCGAGACGCTCCAAGTTTGAGCACAACACTGCTTACCTCAGTCGCCAATTGAGATGGAGGTTTGATTGCCAACTCTTGTGCCACTGTTTAACGTCTTTTCTATTTTTCTTTGTAGGTTCAATGACCATCTTAAAAGGAAGGGGTTCAGTGGAAGAGTGAAAATCGACTATGAAGCCAAGACTTTGAAGCTTGAGGTATGATTATTTCCAAGTTTGGTTGATTTTAACTTGGTTTTACTGGCAGGTTCAAATGCCGCAAGATGCCTCAAACAGCGCAGTGAAAGATACAAGAGCTCTTTCTGGTAACTTTGATACTTCCCTAGGCATGAACGAGCAAGTTTTGTGCTTTTCTCTTTCAGGCGGAGAGAGATCTTTCTCCACTCTATGTTTCGCCTTGGCGCTCCACGAGATGACGGAGTCTCCATTTCGTGCAATGGACGAGTTCGACGTGTTCATGGTAAGTTTCCTTCGTTTTCATGTACTTGTTTAAGCTCTCGTCTCACAGGACGCAATCAGCCGGCGAATCAGCCTGGAAACTGTGGTGGATTTCGCGATCCAAGAAGGATCTCAGTGGATTTTCATCACGCCCAACGACATCAGGTACCTCTCTCGTTTAGATTTTTTTCTGGTGGATTTGAGCTCGTTGTTTCCTGGTTTTTTAGCTCCGTGAAGGATCACCCAAAGATAAAGAAGCAGCAAATGTCAGCTCCTCGTCTATAGACGAAGAATTTTTCGTACCAACAGTAAAATGGTTTTAACTAGCAGTACAATTTTTCGCACGCGGGCTGATTTAACTGCTGCCAATAGAATCTGGGAATATGAGATTCTAGGAATATTAATGAAAAGAAGCGGCGAACTGGGGAATCCTGGGCCGTTAGATACGCAAAGATCTAACGAGCCATTTTGAAATAGTTGTTTAGGGTTTTAGTTCTAGCTAGCTTGCTATGTTGACGCAAACGTGGAGGGGCGAGGATCAGGGTGTCGCGGGTGTGATCTCGCGCATCAAGCTCGTCAATTTCTTATGCCACAGCAATCTTTCAATCGATCTCGGTGACAATGTCAATTTCTTGACGGGGCAAAATGGAAGTAAGAGCGAGATTTTAGATTGGATTTGAGTTTTCCCCATTGTTTTTGTTTTCTCAGGCGGCAAGAGCGCCATTCTGGCCGCGCTGTGCATCGCCTTTGGGAGCAAGGCCCGTGGGAAGGATTTTATCAAAATTGGATCAAAGTAAGCAAAGTCCCCCTTTTTTTTTTCTGGACTAGCATTGTTTCTGTTCCAGGTCTGCTTTGGTAGTGGTAGAGTTAAAAAATGAAGGGTCAGATGCTTATAAGCCAAATCTGTATGGCAAGACGATAGTGATTGAGCGGAGAATCACTGCTGGAAGCAACACTATTGTCTTGAAAAATCACCGAGGTTGGTTTTCTACCGTGCGAGGGATTTACTTCTTTTGTATTGTGTATTCCAGGTGAGAAACTTTCTTCAAACAAGCAGGATTTGTGAGATGTGATCGACCATTTCAGTGTAAGCTAAGATTGTATTTTTAAAATTTTCTACTTTCCTACTGTCACCTTTTTTTTGTAGATTGATGCGGAAAACCCGTGTGTGATTATGTCTCAAGACATGAGTCGAGATTTTCTGAGTGCTGGTAGCGAGAAAGAGAAATTCAAGGTAACAATAGCTTTCGTTTCCAAGCTGAAGGTGGTCTGACATATGCTTATGCTGTAGTTTTACTTCAAGGCAACTCTTTTGGAGAAAGTCTCGAAATTGCTGGACATGAACGTGAAGACTATTCAAGTGTGTCGTGATTGCCTTCAAAAGGACAGGAAATCTTTTGAAGTGCTCGAACGGGATCTGGTGAAGATAGAAGAGAAACTTCTCCATGCGGAACAAGTGGATGAACTTGCTGAAGAAGTTCGCACCTTGCGAAAGAGATTGGCTTGGGCTGTAGTTTATGAGACAGACAAGAAACTCGAAGACATCCAAGCGTTTGTAAGAGAACTCGAGCAGCTTATACTTCTAGCTGAAGAGGACATCGAGATGCAAACAGTGAGCAGTTTGGTCTTTTATTTGTTGGATGTCTGAGGTTTTTGCATTGCAGCAATTACTTGCAGAGACGCGACTTTCTCTTTCCCACCTAGAAGAAAACGTCTCTGATCTTGTAGCAAGGAAAGACAGAGCTGAGGAGACACGTACAAAACTCATGGAAGAGCTAGCTGAGGTGAAGTCCTTAAATTTTAGTTCAACGTATTTGATGTTGTAGTACAGATTTCAGTTGAGGAAGCGCAGCTGAAAGGGGGTGTTGAGAACAAGGAAAGTGTCTTGCATGCAAAACGAATTAGAAAGCAGTCTTTGGAGCAGCATGTCCAGGAGATGGAAGAGAATTTCGTACGATGTTCCCAGGTAGGAAATGGGTTCTTGCTGGAAGTGCTTTCTTATAGTGTTTTCAGGAGGAGGAAACACAATGGCATGCATCCTTTCAAGCTACGCAAAGCGATGTGAATCATTTGAGAGATCAACTTGAAAGGTATTTTATGCAACATGTCCATCTATGAGACTCTGGTAGTCAAGTGTAGGCAACGAGAAGAGGAAGCGAATTTACGAAAGAGATGGGAAGAACTTGAGGCCGCAATTGCAAGCATGAACAACGAGGTACATTTGCTTTGCATTTCGTTGTCAGTGCTGTGGATTTCTTTGATTTAGATGGGTGACAAGCGTCGGGAAATGCATGATTTGGAGGGACATATCAAGAGCCTTTCATCTCAACAACGAAACAGGGTATGCATTAATCTCGAACTGTTTTCTAAAGGGTGATTCCCTTTCGCTTTCGTAGATTCACGCGTTCGGTGGAGAAAAAGTGACATATCTTCTGCAAGCTATTGAAAGGAATCAGAGCTTATTCACAAGACCACCTGTCGGCCCAATCGGGGCCCATCTCGTAAGTTTCCTCTTGTATTTCTTCTAACTCCTTTTTCTTTTCCATTCAAGGCTTTGATTGGAGGGAGTGCATGGGCAATAGCTGTGGAAGTCGCGATAGGAAGGTTGATGGAAGCTTTTATAGTGAACACTCACGAAGATTGTTTGGTTCTTTGCGGGCTTGCTCATCAATGCGGTTTACATCAGCTCCTAATTATAATTTACAACTTTGACATTCCACCGTGAGTATGATATATGTCTGTGCTCCTTACTAAACCCCGTGGTCCTTTCTCTTCCAAGGCTAAACCTTCCACACTGGAGCCTTCCCGATCATAACTTAGTGACTGTAATGTCGATCTTGGAAGCTGGCTGCACCACAGTCACGAATGTGCTGATCGATCATGTAAGTAGCTTCGGACGAGAAAATTGTGCATGACTGTCTTTGATGTAGGGAGGCATGGAACGACAGGTTTTGGTGGAGAATTATGCTGAAGCTGCAAGGCTAGCTGATTCTCGTCGGACTAACGTGAAAGAGATTTTTCAGAAAGACGGAGTAAAATGGTATACTTCTTTTCTGGTGTTGGCATGTTTTGTAATTCTGTTCGGTTACAGGATTTTCAGAGCTGGTGCTCAGACTGTACTTCCAAAAAATCGGAGTTTGCGAGGTGGTCGTCTACAAAACGATAATGGAGCAAATATTTGTCAATTCCGCGGTGACGTATCTCGACTAACAGCGGAGATAATTTCGATTGAAGCTCAGAAGAGAAATGCCGAGGATGCGATCCGAGAGATCAGGCGTGACCTTGACAGTTTTGCGGTGATCGTTGTTTCACTGATTGCGATTGTCTTCTTAACTATCCTATGTAAATTGTGCAGACGAAGCAAAGAGATACTCAGCGTCTTCTTTCCACTAAAGAGTTTTGTCTTCGTGACTTGAGGAGTCAGGCTGAGGTAGCTGCACGAGGAGCCATGCCAAACATTGGAGAGCTTGAAGACAATATACTCGTAAGCTACAGATATTGAATCGGTCAAGATTTACCTTCTCAATTTTCCAGGTTACGGAAGCTGAAGCCTTGGAACTGGAACGGGAGATTAGAGAACTCCGACTTAAACACGCCGCTGCTCGAGAAAGAAAAGAGCTTTCCTCGTCTCGACTTGATTCCTTTGAAGGTAGTTTACAATCTTGTTTCCAACCAGTGCGTGAAAAAAGCTGCTATTTCCTCCAGATTCGGTTAGAGATGATGTAAAAGCTCTCGAAAATTCTGCGTCTGAGCTGCGGGCTTTGCTGGACAAGGCAGTAGATGTTTGTCAAGTAAGGACTGCATGATCAATGCTTCTCTAACTCTTCTTGCAGAGGTTGGAGGCCTTGAAATGTAATCTAAAGGACAGTCACCAAGCGGTGAATGATGCGAAAGAGAATGCGGCAAAGCTGCAAGAAATTAGGCAGGTGAGTAGCATACCAGTTTCGTTTCGAAGCTAATGTTCTTCTAATCAAAATCTGTAGGAAGACGCTTGCAAAGCTTTGGGGATTTGCAGTGAAGAGGAGTTGCAAGAAATTGGAGGTGTTACCGACACAAGGAAGCGACTTCAAGCTCGTTACAACGCTCTTACTAGTCGATCAGTGCGAGAGTAATTGTCACCAATGCACTGTCGTTTCAACGCTTTTGCAAACTTTGCCTTTTGTTTCTCTAGGAGTAACGTATCAGTGGATGAGCTTCAGCATCAGAGGCGCAAATTGATAAAGCAAATCTCGAGTAGGAAGCGGAAGAATTCTCAACTAGAGGAAAAAGTCGATGTAAGGCAAATTGCTTGGTCATTCTCACCGAGCGAGCTTACCCTGAAGTTTTTTCGTTTATATTGACAGGATATAGCGACGCGGCACAAGAAACGGTGCGAGAAGTTTGAGGCGAGCTCTAGCCTTCTGAAAAAACAACTTCAATGGGAGTAAGAATTTGAAATGCGAAGCGTTGATGGAGTTGATCATGTATGACATGTTTGCTGCAGATTCAATGGTCATCTCAGGAGAAATCTTTTCCACGGTCGCGTTCAAGTGGATTACGAATCGAAGACGCTTAAACTAGAGGTGGATCATGTTCTTCTTTTTTCTTTTTTTCCTCCCTTGACTTCTTACCAGGTTTGTGTGCCACATGACTCTAGCTCTGTCAAGGACATGCGGTCTCTATCAGGTAAAAGTTTTTTCGTCTCGTCGTGTTGATCTCACAGTTTTCTACAATCGCCACAGGGGGAGAGAGATCCTTTTGCACACTGAGCTTTGCACTAGCTCTACACGGAATGACAAACGCGTCGTTTCGTGCGATGGACGAGTTCGATGTGTTTATGGTGAGAACTCTCTCGTCTTCTTGGCTGCGTTTTCTTACAGCCCTCTTGACTTCCAGGACGATGTTTCGCGAAAAAGCAGCTTGGAAACGCTCGCAGCATTTGCGATCGAGCAAGGCTCCCAGTGGATATTTATCACACCCAACGATATCAAGTACGAGAGTTTTATATGCTTTGGAACTTGCTAATCCATTGGATTTAAGCAGTTTATTGCGAGCTCATCCTAAACTCAAGATAATGGAGCTGCCATCACCGCGTCCAGTCGCGCGAGACTAGTAAAAATTTCTAAAGGAAACTCTTCTCGACTTCTAACAAAACATTTGTAAGTATGCTTCGTTCCTAAAGATTATATTATAGAGGTAAATATTTCTATCTCGACTTCTAACAAATTTTTTGGAAGCATGTCCCACTTGAGGCTATATTATAGAGATTAGTGTGTATAGATTTAATCACAAGTGGACCACGGAAGGCCTTTCTAGCAACAAGGCTTACGTGCAAAGCATTAACGTGGACAGGCTTGACGACGTGGAAGGAAATAAAAACAAGCAAAACATGGTCAATGGTCTCGACCACGAGACCTGGTATATTCCCCGCTCCATGAAGAGGATGTATTCAAAGCTTCTGCTTGGGCTGCGAGCTCGTGTGGTTTTGGCATTTTGGATGGATCTTTCTTAGCGCCTGGCAGGGATCAAGATTGGCGCGATCGCGATCGCGATCGCAAGGCTTGGCGCCCGATCGTGATTTTCGGATTTTCTGCCAGTGCCGTGGAGCAGAGTAGCGCAGGGATCGGTCAGGCAGTCAGTCGCTCTTCTTTGGATCGAGGCCGAGCGCAGCGCGAGTAGCGATTGTTTCTCGTCCTCGCGGCAGTAAATGCGTCGCTCGTAACGCTTGGCGATCCATTTACTGCTGGAGTCGGCTCCAATCGCTGGCTAGGGTTTGAGCAAGATCTCCTGCGAGCTCGAAATTCTTGTTCTTGGTAATCATCCAGCTCGAAATATCGGCTCCATAGCGAGAATCGCGAATTTCCTCGCTGGTAACAGTGATCTAGGATGAGGCGCCGGCTCAAGGGAAAGGTCAGTGCCGGGTTCTCTGAAAGTGCTCGAGACCCGGTCTGAGTAGTCGCGGTCTTGGATTCCGGCTGCCACATTCTAATTGCACTCCATCGATCTTTATTCTCCATGATCATGGCGTAGCTCGATCATAGGAAGCGAAGGATGGATGGAGCTCTGGGATTGATACTTGGCATCTCAATTGGCCTAGGAATTGGGCTGCTCCTCGCCTGCGCGGTGTTTCTTTGCATCCGGGCGAACAGGCGGAGGATCGAGAGGAGGAATTGGAGCGAGAGGAGCACGGTGGTGCTGCCCATCCGTGTGAATGGCGTCGACTCCAGCTCGGTGATATCCGATTCGTCGACTGCGCCGCAAGCTCTAGCTTCCAAGGAGGCTGGCCTGTTTACTTCGTGGTTGGGTGGAAGAGGAAAACGCTTCACTGCCATCAATGCTGGGATCACAAGATTTTCATACAGGTATGGAGAGGAAAGGAGAGATTGACTTTAGTTTTTCTTCCAAGTTTCGCTAAGTTGTCGCTCTCTTTCAGGGAGTTGCAAAAGGCCACTAACAATTTTACGACGCTGTTGGGCCAGGGAGCGTTTGGCCCAGTGTACAGAGCAACGCAGCCTTCCGGGGTTGTGTTGGCCGTCAAGGTTTTGGCGTCAAACTCCAAACAAGGCGAGAGGGAGTTTGAGACTGAGGTAAGATTGACACACTTCTAGCAAGCTTAGTGTGATGGTTTTTTCCTGGTTTTGTTTTCTCGCTTGGACCAACCAGGTGATCCTTATGGGACGATTGCATCACAGAAATCTAGTGAATCTGGTGGGATATTGTACCGAGCGAGAGCACAGGATGCTTGTGTACGAGTACATGAGCAATGGCAGCCTTGCAGACCTTTTGAGCAGTGAGTGTGAAGTTTTTTCTTTCTAGTTTTCAATGACCCTTCGCCTTCCCTTGCAGGCAAGGAGCCCCTGAAGTGGGACTGGAGAGTTCGGATCTCCCAAGATATTGCCAGAGGGATCGAGTACTTGCACGACGGGGTAAGTGATTTCTATCATATATCTTTGATTTGCCCTTGTACGCTAGTTTTCTTATTCTAACTCTCTCAGGCAGTACCGCCCGTGATCCACCGGGATATAAAATCCGCAAACGTTTTGCTGGATTACTCAATGCGAGCGCGCGTAAGCGAGGTGTTTTTTCTTTGATGACAGCGACTTAACAAAAAAAAAACTCTCGCGTTCCTCCAGGTTGCTGATTTTGGACTCTCGAAAGAGCTAAGTGACGACGTCGCCGTATCGGGCTTCAGGGGGACCTTCGGCTATATCGATCCGCAATTCATTGCCACGAAGACATTCACGGAGAAGAGCGACGTGTACAGCTTTGGCGTCCTGCTGTTCGAGATCATCACGGGACGAAGTCCACAACAAGGACTCATGGACTACGTCCAGTTGGTACGAGCACCAAACTCACTTAAACTTCTTCGCCGGTTGCTCACACGACATTCTCTTCAACGCTCTTGCAGGCAGCGATGGACAGCGACAGTGTGGGCTGGACGGAGCTGGCCGACATCCGGCTGGACGGGAAGTGTAACTTGGACGAAGTGGCGGCCATGGCCTCGATCGCCCACTCGTGCTTGGAGCCTCTCCCGTCCAAGCGACCAAGGATGCGAGAGGTCGCACAGAGCCTCCAGCTGATCGGTAAGAAGCGATTGCTCGTAACAACAGATCCAATGCAGCCGCGAGACCAAGCTCTCGATCATCAACGCCACCAAGATCATGGTCCGCAAGATCATCGTCACCAAGTTCCCTACGGTGCTCATCGCGGTCACCAGCAGCAGCTAAAACTGGAAGCCGGTGTAAATGGAAATGGGCTTCCCAGAGGTGAATGGAGTAAACCATTCCACCAACAAGAGCACGAACCAACAGACCAACAACAACGACAACAATAACGAAAAGAACTTCCTACTGTAAGATAAAAAAAAATGCTTTGGGGTGAGAGAGGCTCGAACTCTCGACCTCAGGATTTCCCAGAAGCTATGAGACCTACGCGCTAGCCAGCTGCGCCACCACCCCTTAGCGATAATGTCCTATGATTAGGACGTAATCTTTTTTGCTGGCGAAGGATGACACTATAAATTACGTACGCAAAAGTCGAGCTATAAAACACGCGTCTTTCTACTTGTCAGTCATGCCGTACTTCCACGAAAGAAAACCAAATAGAAGGAGAATATGCTAGCATGCCGGGAGAATATGCTTCCCGCGTCTATAGATCGCGTCAGCTGCGGGATTGAATGGTGGCCGTCCACGTGTCTTTTGCCCTGGATAAAAGTTTGGGGGTTAAGCGTTTATATTTGAAAATCGTTTAATCGGGAGTTTGTAGCTAGGACGCATCGCGCCGGCGGCAGCAACGCTGCTAGGTCAGGGCGCGGGGCTGCTAGGACGCCGGCATTTCTTCCCTGTGGATTCCTTGCGCCAGGGTTGTTCTCGCTTCGATAGATCCGCAGGGTTTGGTTTTCTTCCAGGATTCGATTCTCCTTTTCTTCTCGTCTATCGATCGGCGATGGAGCTGAGGAGCAGCGGCTGCCCCGGATTATGGACGCGGATTTTGGTGCTGTGCTCGCTCCTCGCGATTGTTTGCGGTGAGGCTCCCGCCGGCGCGGGAATTTTGCGGCTCACACATAGGTATTCCGACCGGGAAGGATCGAGCAGGGAGAGGGATGGGGGCGGCGGAGGGATGAGCAAGGAGCATTTCCAGCTGCTGCTGGATCACGACCGCGGGCGCAGGGGTCGATTCCTCGCCGAGGGGGTGGACTTTTCTCTCGGAGGCACCGCCGATCCTCTCTCCGGAGGGTAAGTTCTTCTTCACTGGGTTTTCTAATTTAGCAGCGCTAGAATTTTGACCGGTTTTTTAAATCCTCTTCCATTCCCAGGCTTTACTTCACGCAAGTCGGTCTTGGAAATCCCGTAAAGCACTACATTGTCCAAGTCGACACCGGCAGCGATGTCTTGTGGGTGAATTGTAGGCCGTGCTCGGGATGCCCACGAAAAAGTGCGCTCAACGTAAGTGGTCCTCGCACTTTTTCTTCTTCGCTCTTTTGTTTCCATCTTTATCTTCTTACAAGGACTTGTGCGTCTAGATACCTTTGACGATGTATGATCCTCGAGAGTCATCGACGACGTCTTTGGTTTCGTGCTCCGATCCTCTGTGCGTGAGAGGGCGGCGATTTGCCGAAGCTCAGTGCTCGCAAACCACCAACAATTGTGAGTATATATTTTCTTACGGGGACGGGAGCACGTCCGAGGGGTATTACGTGCGGGACGCGATGCAGTACAACGTTATTAGTAGCAATGGATTGGCAAACACAACGTCGCAAGTCCTGTTCGGGTAACTCTTCTCTTTTTCCTCTGCTTTTTTTTGGCTGCAACTGTCTCGTTTTGTTTCTCATGGTTTTCAGTGCTCTCCAAACAGGTGTAGCATCAGGCAAACAGGCGATCTCTCGACGTCGCAGCAGGCTGTTGATGGGATAATCGGGTTTGGCCAGCTTGAGCTATCCGTGCCAAATCAATTAGCGGCTCAGCAAAACATTCCTCGAGTGTTCTCACACTGTTTGGAGGGGGAGAAACGGGGAGGAGGCATTCTTGTCATTGGCGGCATCGCGGAACCTGGAATGACTTACACGCCTCTCGTTCCGGATTCGTAAGTTAGCACGATTGTTACTTCTTCCAAATTAATTCTTCCATCCCCAGGGTCCATTACAACGTCGTTTTACGTGGGATATCGGTGAACTCCAACAGGCTACCCATTGACGCAGAGGATTTCTCATCAACGAACGATACTGGAGTGATCATGGATAGTGGAACTACTCTTGCGTATTTCCCTAGCGGTGCTTACAACGTCTTCGTCCAGGCAGTAAGTCCTGATAAACTTCACCGGTGTAGTTCATGGCTAACAATTCTATCACCCAGATTCGAGAGGCAACCTCTGCAACCCCGGTTCGTGTCCAAGGAATGGATACTCAATGCTTTCTCGTGTCCGGAAGGTACTGCAATCACGTTCAATAGTTGAAAGTAACACTTGTCTCTCACTCTATTTTTCTACTCAAATTCTTGATTCAGATTGAGCGACTTGTTTCCAAATGTCACTTTGAATTTCGAAGGAGGAGCCATGGAGTTGCAACCAGACAACTATCTTATGTGGGGAGGAACTGCAGTAAGCTACTTTCCTTTTGGAAAAGCTAGATAGATGGATAGACTAAATCTCTTTTCTTTCCACGCACGCAGCCGACTGGAACAACGGACGTGTGGTGCATTGGGTGGCAATCATCGAGCTCCTCGGCTGGGCCCAAGGACGGAAGCCAGCTTACAATCCTAGGAGGTGTGATGTTATTTCTCGATTGTCGCAAGCGCTAATGTTTCTCTTCCCAGATATCGTGTTGAAAGATAAGCTCGTCGTCTACGATCTGGACAACTCGCGCATTGGCTGGATGAGTTACAACTGTAAGTTTTTGTTTTTTTACTTGGCTCTTTACTCACACGCCAGAGATCAGGCTCGGACGAAGTAAAAGTTGCTGGTCATGCGGTCATAGCCTCGCATCTCGACTCCAACGCCGCCATTTCGACAAAACCATCCAGAGTTGTGATATTCTTACTTGTTTTCATCCTCTCGGTGTGTATACATTGATTTCTCTTTGGGAAAAAGCATACACAGGCACCATACAATGGAGAGAATGTTTCTCCCATTTTGGTACATTTGTAAAAGCAAGTGATTGATTGATTTCTAAACGAGAAAAAAATATGATTTTTTTTACCATGCTATGGAGTAAAAGTTTTGACATTCACTCGACTTACATCCGATCAAAACTTATTACAATAGAAGATTGCTTCCTTAGGAACTAATGAGGTAGCCAATGAGTATGCCTAACAAGCCGACTAGAAAGATGAGCCACAAAGAGAAGCCGGCGGCTGGGCCATTTCTTTCCTTCAAGCTCGATGCTTTGCTAGCCTGCAGCTCAAAAGCGCGGGATGAACAAGAGCACGCAATCACAAAACTTAAAAAAGAGGGCTCACCAATTCCTGCTGCAGCCGTTGCGAGAGCTGGACGGCCGAGTCGCGCTCTTTCCTGATCGCGAAGAGCTCCTGGTTCACTTTGGCGAGATTTGCCTCGAGCTGCGAGGTGTCCTTCGTTGCCTGGGACGCACAAGACTAGACTTTAGTTGTGGTCGAAGGAAAGAATGTCAAGGAGAGTGAGCTTACAGTTTGTTGGAACAAAGTGGAGTCACCGTTTTGCATCGCTTTCGGTGAGACGCCCTCTTCCTCGGGCGATTCGGCAACGGGCGACGGGGGTTGAGGAGGAGACGTCAACACCACCCGCAACTTCGTGTCGTGGATATCGTGCCCGCTATCCTTGTTGAACTTTGCACAGGGAAAATCGGTACCAAAGAAAACAAATGAGGGGACGAAGGCAAATCGACTAACAGCAAAGTACCATCTCAGGGACGTCTTTCACGGTTGTCTCGGCTGGAACCACAATGGTTTGCACCAGGAACTTGTCCTTGCATTGCATGTCTAGCGGTGCTTCCTTTTGTGCTTGCATTGTCACTGCGAAGGCAAAACACAGGGAAGAGAAGATGATCAATCCACAAAGTAGCCTTTAGAATAAATTTATACCTGTGACATCCGTGCTTCCTCGTGCCGGGACAATGCCGGTGTTTGGGCGCACGCAGTACTTCTTCGGTGAGGTAGTTTTCACCTAGAAAAACCAAAGAAGATAGATTCAAGAACGATCCAGCGAGCGAGCGAAGAACAAAAAAAAAAGAGAGAGAGAAAAAAAAAACTCGAGACCTTAAAGGCGATAGAATCATCGGTATTGTTGACGAGCCGCAAGGAACACGAGATTTGCTTCTTCAGCTCAACTGCGGCACACAGGCATTTCGCAAATCAGTGATCCATTGCAATGGAAACGAGCGCTTACATGGAAATCTCAGCTCCCCGGGCTGTATGCTCACGCGCTCTGTCATTGCGACCCGACGATTACCCCCTATCCCATGGATTTCCGCGAGATGAGAGGAGGGAGATCGAATACCAAGATCATACCTAGCGCCTGGAGCTGCGCGTCGCCCCAGATCCTCTCGGCGCACAGTCCAAACCCGCGCTTACCCTAGCTAGTTTTGTGAGACACGGGGTATATTCACGGAATTTATGCTAATAGTGATCTAGGGTTCCGGGTTTAGGGCACTGGTGGGCGATCTCGCCAATTTGGAAAGAATTGTGGCGCCTGGGCGCCTGTGGATGATCGCGGGGGGACGAGGTGCTGAATTAATGGGGGTTTCGCCCAGGAATGGCTCTGGATCGATCAAATTGCCGGATTTGCCATTGGAGCGGCAATCTTCGCGGCGGAAGGGCGTGGAGAAGAGCATCCTGGACGATATTATGGGCGATCCCGACGATTTCAAGGAGCTCGTGGATCCGGAGGAGGATGGAGGGCGATGGGAGGACACGGTGAAAGAGGCGTAAGTGAAATATCTTCTTGGCTTAGCTATTAACGTAGGAAGTTTTTTGTTGTCATTGTACATGGCGTAGAGTACAGAGGTTTGTTTTTTGTTCCAGAGTCCTCGACTGTGATTCCCGGGCAGATTTTTTTTTTTATATGATGATCACTGCTGCTATTGATCCTCTTGGTGTCTTAGTAGTTTTGGTTTTGATTTCTAATTCCTTTCGAATTCATTTTTGAGGTGCTCCTTTCAGCCTTGATGCCGAGAATTTGACTGAAGCGCCTGCTCCATTGGAGGTAACTGCCAGAGCAAAGATTTGCGTATCCTTTACTGAAGTTTGAGTTTTACGTGCAAGGTGAAACGCTCCAAGAACCAAGGATCAGAGCGTAGAGGTGAGACCTTCTTATATCAGTATCCACCTTACGTTTTCCTTCTTGGTTTTCTCAGGTTCTAAATCACATGGTACCAGATATTTCATAATTAAAAGCTTAAACCACCAGAATCTCTCCAAATCTGTTGAAAGAGGAGTTTGGGCTACACCAGCGGTGAACGAAGACATTTTGAATGAAGCATTTCAGGTAGCTACAAAGTTCTTTTGTGTGTGTAGCTCTGACTTTTTTTCTTTCTTTTTAGACTTCAGAACGTGTTGTTTTAGTGTTCAGCGTGAACATGAGTGGTTACTTCCAAGGCTATGCCGAAATGACATCTCGGCCCGGTCGACGAAAGGACAACCTTTGGAATGACGCCAACGATGGCTCCAGTCCATGGGGCGGTGTTTTTTCGGTGGACTGGCTAAAGTTGCATGATCTCCCATTTCAGGAAACCTCGCATCTTAAAAATCCTCTCGATGATAATAAGCCCGTAAAAATCAGCAAGGATTGTCAGGTATCTGTGTCTCTTATGTTCCCACGTCATTGTCATTCTCTTTTTCTTAGGAACTTCCTCGAGAAGTTGGGGAGTCGCTTTGTGCTTTGATCGATGAAGGAGCACAACGAGATGGACATGCAAAGAGGTTTTGTCGATTAGCTTGTCTGGCGTTTGCTAACCTTAGAAAACACAGGAAAAAGCCGGATGAAGACGCTATTGGAACTAAAAGATTACGTGGAGACGGTGGACAGAATGGCAAGACTGAAAGATCTTCTCAGAAAATTGAAAAGCACACCTCGGACAAGCAGAAAGCACCGGAGAGAATTACCCCAGACAAAGACAAGGACAGAGAGCGAGACAAGCGATCAGAGAAGGACAGAGCAACGAGTAAGGAAAGGGATCGTGATCTTCGAAAGAACAGGCTGCCAGAGGAAGATTTACTCAACATGGTAAGCGTCACACTTTACGTTTTCTAGTGCTTTTTCTTCAAACACATCACTGAGACATTTTGTTTGCGTAGACGTACGAGGAGTACCTTCGAAGGCACAACCGAACCTATCAACAGGTACATGAGTATTTTGTGATGATTAAGACCACAATCCTAAACTAATGTGTACTTCTTTCAGTTTGGTCGTCCCGCAGCTCCTTATGTCGGACCGTGGATGGGTCCGGCTGGCCCTGGAATGCCTGATCCGTATGCATACGCCCTTCGTGATACTCGTGACTTACATCTGTAAACTGTTTTTCAGGTACGCAATGGCCGCTTGGTATGAACGGCGGCCCGAACCGTTCTATGGGATTCCCCCAGTTCCTTACGGAGGCATGCATCCGTTTGATCCCACAAAATGGCGTGGCCATCCGCGCTAGGTGCGGAGCTGCTTTTTTTTCTTTCAAGTTCTTTCGCGTCAACATTCATCTGTGGCTCGAGGACAATTGTAGCTGTAAGAAGATTGTATTCCAGTTTTAACGCTGACGACTATTTTTTTTTTTTTCATCTTGGGTGGATCACCCTGTGTGTGTTTCATAGCTTGCAGGTGGACTGTGAGAGTCCATGCTGCTTCATGGCAACTGTACAAATCGTGCAAGAAATTATAAAGTTTGTTCGCTGTTTCTCCTTTATTACAAGGTTGGTGGATGAGTTTGTGTCAGAGATCGCGATTTTATATTTTTCCATGACGCTTTTATGGCTCGGGTCAAGCATGGGCAGCGTTGCATTCTGGTACTTTGATTACACTCCTGACTTAAGCTTCATTTATCAGTGTCCACGTTCTAACGAGTCTTGATTGTATATAGGTGGATGCTGTGGAGAATGCCGGAGAAGCAGAGCGCAGTATGAAGCTCTGGAGGTGGCTTGTTTTGAGCTATTTTTTTCTCGTGGGTGATGCGAGCAAGGTTCCAGCTCTCTTTGTGTTTGGAGACTCAACGGTTGACACGGGTAATCTCAAGCAGCGGTCTTCGCTCTCGTTGCTGATGACCAACAGGCTTCCATATGGAAGGGACTTTGTTCCTCCTGGACCGACTGGACGAGCGTCCAACGGCAAGCTTTCAACCGACTTCCTTGGTAAGTGACGAACATATGTTTCGCTTCTTTAACCGTGGAATTCCGCACTGCAGCTGAGTTTCTAGAGCTCCCTTCGCCAGCCAACGGCTTTGAGGAACAAACGTCGGGAATCTTTCGCGGGCGAAATTTTGCTGCCGGTGGTTCTGGATATCTGAATGGCACTGGAGCCTTGTTCGTAAGCTCAAGTTTCCAACTTATGCATTTACCTTTTCTTCTTCTTCTCAGAGAACGATCCCACTCTCCACGCAGCTCGACGCGTTCGAAAAGCTCGTGAAATCCACAGCTCAGTCTCTAGGAACGAAAGCAGCTTCGGAGCTTCTGGCCAAGTCCCTGTTCGTCGTAAGCACCGGAAACAACGACATGTTCGACTACATCTACAACATCCGGACCAGGTTCGACTACGACCCGGAGTCGTACAACAAGCTCGTGCTCTCGAAAGCTCTCCCGCAACTCGAGGTATACAGCACAGACATCTATCTCTCTCGGCTCTCAAGAGCATTCTAACTTCAGAGCTTTTGCAGCGTCTCTACACCTTAGGCGCTCGCAAGATGGTCGTCCTCTCCGTAGGCCCTCTCGGGTGCACGCCGGCGGTGCTCACACTCTACGACTCCACGGGCGAGTGCATGAGAGCCGTAAACGATCAAGTGGCGAGCTTCAACTCGGCCTTGAAGGCGTCGCTCGCGTCCCTGGCATCAAAGCTCCCGGCGCTCCACGCCATGTATGGAAACGCCTACGACTTGCTGCTGGACGCGGTGGAGCAGCCATCAAAGTATGGATTCAAGTATGGCAACGTTGCGTGCTGCGGGCTGGGGAGATTTGGAGGCTCGTCCGCGTGTAGCAACCTCACCAACGTTTGCT